CTCCTTCTTAATGTTTCTTATTTATGTTTTTCTCCTTCTTAATGTTTAGCTAAGTTAATTATGTCAACGTGAAAAGGTTTCTCTAATGGTGTTAGAATAGGTATAATATAAATTCAACATGAGCTTTAAATGTTTATATCCAAGAAAGATTGTTATTAACATGTTTTATCTTTTTATCTTACTAATTCTTAATACCTTGCTTATTAAATGTTTAATTTAGATTTGTGTTGTATAATATTTGGTACATCAAATGCTTGATCCTTCATAGTTTTCGGCCGACATCGTTATTATGATAGGAACTTGATTTGTTGTTAACATAAACTAGCAACATGAATGCTTGATGATATTTATAAGTATGGTATTACTTAGATAAGATAATTAATATGATCATGTTAGTAATTTATAATGAGCTAATAACGAGAAATCATCCGATTAGAACCTCCTTTGTGTGTGGTTTCTAGTTGAGTAATAAAAAGAGTTTATATTATATTTATTTGAAATACCATTAGTGAATCCTATAACCTTGACATATGTTTTGTTATTGTTTAATCCTTACATCAATATCACATCCCAAAACTTTCTTCAACTCTTTTTCTGTTATTATTCTCTTCAAATCTTTTTCTTTATTTGTAATTTATATAATTCACCTCCCTGTGGTTTGACCCCGGTCTTGCCGGGTTATTTTACTTTGACACTCCTACACTTGGGATAAGACATCAACTCTTTGATCGTGTCATTGGGTCATATTTAGAGTTGTAGATCTTGAATTTTAGTTTGGTTTATATGGTTAGAAAGCTAAGACATAAGCCTAAAACATTCATGATAGTTCAAAACTCAATTTTGTCGTTTGGAAGTCCAAATTTTAGCATTAAAAGAGAAGTTTGAATTTGTTCTTCAACCCAGATATTGTTCAATGTTCAGCCCATATCTCGAGTTCTAGAAGTCCAAATACACTGATTCTTTTTTTATTGGAAAGCTGAGACAATTTCATAGAACTTTCATGATGCATTCTATTCAAATTTTGATGTTAGTAATGACGTTTTCTCCAGACAAGAAAATAAGGATTATTACCAAAGTCAAGATGTAGCTACTTACTTAATAATTAGTCATTAAATCAATAGTTTCAAAATTTGGCCTATAAAAAAAGGCATTTTCCATGCATTTAGACATCCTAGTTTTCATATCAAAATCATTCTCTTGCTCTCTCTTTTTATTGTAATGCTTAAGTTTTGCTTAAATTAATCTCTTGTTTATGCTTCTCATTTCCTTTCTTTTACTAAGATAACTTTTATTTTATTTATGTTCTTATCTTGTTTATTTATGTTTCTCTCTTTTATTATGTTTAGTTCAGTTTATTATGTCAATGTGAAAAGGTTACACTCATGGTGTAAGAATAAGTATAGTATAAACTCAACATAAACCTTAATGTTTGATACTAACATGTTTTGTATTTGTTATCTTGTTCACTTTTAATACTTTGCTTGTTAAATGGTTAATCTACATATATGTTGTATAACCATTTGTATAATAAATACTTGACACTTTCATAGCCTAACCGTATGGCATAACCAACACTTGTGTTATGAAAGAAACTTGATTTGTTGTTAAATAAGTTATAATCATGAATACTCGACAACATTTACAAGCATTAACATTATTCGAATAAGATAACTAATGTAATCATGTTAATAATTTATAATTCAATTGGAACCTTATTTGTGTGTGGTTTCTAATTAAGTAATAAAAAGAGTTTATAATATACTTATTTGAAATATTATTAGTGGATCCTCTAACCTTGATAATTATTTTATCCTTGTTTAATCCTTATATCAATATCACATTTCAAAGCTCTCTTTAACTCCCTTTCTATTATTATCTATTTATTTGTTTATAGTTTATACAGTTAACCTTCATATGGTTCGACCTCGGTCTTGTCGGGTTATTTATTATTTTGACACTCCTACACTTGAAAGAAGATATCAACTCTTTGGTCATGTCAAAGAGCAGGAAGAATAAAAACTAGAAAATCCCACAAAAACCACACCAAATAGAGTTCAACCGAGTAGAAAAAGTAGCACCTTCTTCTCCAGCCATTGATAGCAGGATATTCTTCCAGCCTCTATTAAAGCAATGTCAAAAACTCTCCTTCATGACAGCAGCTTATCCCTGCCATAAGCATTAGGCCGAATCTTCAACTAAGAGCAGCACCTGACCATCTCCCTCAACTTTGCCTGCGAGTCACAGCAACCCTAGATGAGTTCTCTTTCTTTCCCTGTTTTGCTAAAATTAATTAGCATGTTACTATTACTTGCATGCGTGAATTGTTCACGCATGCATGCAACAGTGGCCACACTAGGTCATTGGTTTGGACCAATGACCCAACCCTTTTTAGTTTGAGACCGGGCTATAAAAAAATAGTTTTTTTTTCTTTTAATATAGAATTTTGTGGATTTATTTACTGGCACTAAAATCAGGAATACATTACTTTTTGGGTTACTCTATATTTACCAACGCTAGAGTTGGAAATATTCATAGACAAATATTCATTAATGCTAGAGTAAAAAATATTATAGAAAGATCATAGGAATATAACAAAAACAAATCTTTAGTAATTTAAGACAAAACCAGCAATGCAGCCTATCTCAGGTAAAACATTTCTCTTATATTTTTATTGTGTGGAGGAAAAGAGCTTAGTTGAGCTCTTTTTAACTAGTATACTTGTGCTAAAACAGGTAATGAGTGTTGTATAGTTTGCTAAAGTCAAGGACAAAGCTAGGTTCTAGGATATAGTACCATGCCTAAGCTAACCTGTGAAATGTTATCAAAAATATTTTGCAAATACCATCCTTAATTTATATTACAAGCTCTAAACTACTTTATACACTTTATGCTTGTTCCATTATGTCTATAAGTTTATCATAATTGTTTAATTTTATCTTTATAGATATGAAATCCTTAAGGAGATAGGTATCTAATAATAGTTTAAAAAATAAAGAATCTCTCACCTGTTAAGAGTTGTATTCATCATTCTTAAAAGCTTTGAATCACTATAGATGTCACCTCATGTTAGGATATTTTTTGTTTGAGACTGCTCGAGCAAGATTCCAAAGGGAAGCGTTGGCCTTAGAAATGGTTACCCTTGTGACTATAATTAGCTAATATTCTTTTTTTCAGAACTTGGTTCAAGAGTAACTTCTTTGAAAAAATTCATCACAGCCATGTTAACAACTTACAAGTTGTGTTGGAGGTTAAGTTTTGGGGGAGAGGCAAGGTTTTTGAGTTGTTCTTATATGGCTCAATGAGCACTTTCATTTATTGAGCTACTTGGTGAAGGTTTAGAGGAATTGATCATTAATGAAGGGGAGATCGGCCAATCTCTCATGTCTTGGCATTTTTAGATTACCAACAATAAAAAAAACTTCAAGAATATATAAAAAAAAAATGAACTAGCTTTTATTTATTTTTCCACAGACAATATCACTAACATAGCTAGAGAAACTTTAAGATCTTGTCATGACTATTTAGTGAGTTTGAGATTTTTTATAGTTGGGTATGGGCTGATAATCCATATTCTCCTACAAAACAAGTTTCACATGTAGAATAAAAAACTCTTCAATGCTTAAGTTGGTAAAACATAAGAGGCAAATAATGCATACAAGAAAAAGAATAAAAATACAAAAGAGTGTGTGTTGTGAAAGAGAATAAAAATGAAAGAGAATGTGTGACATGGTTGTGATGTTAACTATATGCATAGATTTGTTTATTTGTTAACTTGTAATGTATACCTAGTGATCTTTGGGTATTTATATATCCTGGACCACATGTATTTGCATTATAAGTGTAGGGTTATAAATCTACTTGTTGAGGTAATCATGGAGAATATATACTTCATAAAGAACAACCATGCAATCATTTTATCAACAAATTATTCAAGTAAGCACCTACTATGTTAACTTGTATGAAGGCTTTCAGATAAGTGTTATAGTAACAACTTATAAAACAAAGAATCCAGGTGGTGATTGTATTGGAGAATTTAGTTGGGCTATTATTTAAGCATGCCATGTATGTTTTAAAGGGAGAGGAAAAATAAAAGGAATGTGGGCTTTCTTGTCATTATTGGGCTTTATTTGGTCCCTTTTTTTTTTCCTTCCCTTCTTTCTTCTCTTCTAGGTTTTGTTAGGTTAGGTTTAGTTGGACTATATCTAAATTGAAGAAATGTTGACAAATTAAAAATTGAAATAGAATATATATATATATATATATATATATATAGCTCTTGTATATAATGTGTTGACATGTTCACAAGCCCTTTATATTTTAGTAGTACTTTCAATAAATTCTAACGTTCCATATTAGTCTTTCTTGGTGATGTTGGCTTCATATTAGACTTATTATTGGGTTAGGTCTCATCTCTTTTCATTTCTTTTTTCTTCTCTTCTCTTTCTCATTCTCTTCTCCTATTTTTTTTTTCTTTTCAAATGGACCATTTAGCCCAACTAGTTATCAACTTAGGGATTTTTTTTTTCCTTTTTGTTTTCCTTTTCCTATTATTCTCCTCTTTTCTTCTTATCTTGTTGGGCTTTTTTATCCTTTCTTTCTTTGCTTAAGCTATTTGGGCTTGTTCATTTAGGTTTGACCACCAACCTCTAAATCCTTTCCTGAGGGGACATTTCAGGTAAAGCTAAGTTGATTTTGCTGCTTAAGAGTTAATTTAAACTTGGGAACAATTTGTACATCTTTTTTTTTAACAAAAAAAATAAGTAATTAATAACTATCTGACATAGAAAATTTACATTTTGACCTCTGACCATCCATTTTCATGCTCATAAAATCATAATATCTCATCTTATAATATCTCAGTATTATGGTCTTTTTCGAATGATGACAAAGGATAGATGAGTGGGCATAATATCATTTTATCCCAGATAGACTAATCTATAATCCAACCATTTAGCAATAAAAGCTTGGTAGTAAATATTGAAAATGAATAATTACAAGACTAGAAATGCAAGAGGGTAAAACCCCAGATAAGCGGGTGTATATTTATTTACTCCAAAACTAGTTTTCAATGAATGTTCCCAGCAGGATAACACTTTTGCCTGCAAAAATATGAAAAATAAAAAAAATTGTTACACATCATGAAGGATTGCAATAATTGTATTCTTACTTGATGATATCAAGAATAGCACCATGGAACTCATCGAATGCCTTGGCATTTTTGTCCACAAATTGCTTATAGAGTGTTCCCATCACATTACTTTGTCATCTGTGTCGAAGGCATGGACAGCGCTACCAGTAAACAATTTAGCTCATGATTATTGACAATCTTAAACTCAAGCACATATGCGCGTACCTTCATCAGAATCCGAGAAACAAAAAGACGAGGAAAGAATAAAATAGGATAGACTCGAAAGTAAATAGGAGGTCACAAGGAAAACACCAGCAAATTGTACCATTTTGCAAACTTGAACAAGAACAGATCCAGTGGTGTAGAACAGAAAATACAGATAAAAAATGACGGGAATATCTTGTTGAGTTTGGAAGTCATAGTTAGAAAAGGAAATGTAAAATCTTTTAGCTGGCTTGAAAATGTTGTTTGGTACAGGGAGGAGCCGGTACAGGTGGTGCGATTGCTGATAGAGCCCTCAATACCCTGCTTTTCCTTTTCGAAGCTCTTTGCGGTTGAAATTTATTTCTTCAGAGAAAGTAAATTCCCTTTCACTTCCCTCCTCTCCTAAAGGTGCAGGTGCAGTAAATTACAGTTCGGACTCCAGCATTACAAAGTAGTATTAATAATTAAGAAAAAAACTCCTGCCAACGTTTTTTTTTACAATGTAATATGAAAGCAACTCAGCCAAGCCTTCATCCAAGCATGCCTTTCTTACCAAAAAGTATCAATGCAAGATGCTTGTGCAGATTGAACTCTTTCACTGCAGCATTACATATCAGAATTCCTTCCTCAGCCTGAAGATATGAGAAATAAATAGTCTCATAAGACTTAACAGTGGGCAAGCAGCCTCTCCTTGACTTAAAACTGCAGTTTCAAGCACAAGATCTCCCATGTTGCACTCAGACATTTGCTGAGATAAACCTAGACTTAATGCATGCCACCTTCCCACATCTGTATGTGTGTGTGTGTGTTACAACAAAAATAGAACTCCCATTTTATTTCCACAGATGAGAGAAAACAAAGTAAACTATAAAAATCACAGAAGAAACACATACATTTCCACATGAAACCCCACCATGAGGTTGGCCAGTGTTCTCAATCATTTCAGATTGAGAGGTGGCCTCTCCATGACTTGAAATTGCAGTTTCAGGTATAAGATCCCCCATGTTGCACCCAGACATATGCTGAGTTTGTGTATGTAGCAATCTATCTCCTATTTTTGGAACTGAAGCAGGATTTTGTTCAGAACTGGTCAATGCATTAGATGGTGCAAGTAAGCTCAAATTATTGACAGAACAAAATTTCACAGGATTTTCACTAGCCGTTTTGTCTGCCCGGGACTTCAACTTATGGACTTGTGATTTTAGCACAATCTGTCTAAGGATATGTTCATTGATGCTATCTCTGGACTGAATAGACGTCAATCCATCTTGAGTCCCAAACTCATCATTGTCATTTGCTGTCTTGGCTGCAAAATCACCATCCATATAAGAGCATTAAGAGCCCAATAACCTTGCAGAATTTTCATCCACAACAATAGTCAGGATACATCTAGTAGTCTTGTTTTTTTAAACAATAATGTCTTGAACAATATGAGTGGGTGAGTGCAGATGGATCACCTGCCCATAATAGCAATTTACTATTTCAGAAGACAGCAACTACAATACCAACTCAATATTTATTAGCACTAACATTTCCCTTTCTAAAACATTTTAAATTATTGCTCTCATTAACCTGAATGATTGCAATGTTCCTAGCCACCATGGAATTAGAGAAATATTTCAAAATTTCCTGAAAAAAAAAATGAAGTGATGCAGAGGAGAGAAACATCAAATCAACAACCAAAACCAGTGAAAGACAGCACGCATGAGGCTCCTTGCAAACAAGATCTTCGATATAGACAAAGTCCTGACATGCCCCTATTTAAAGAGATTGAAATGACACTCCTTTATTTAATTTTTTTTTTTTTAAAAAAAAGAAGCTTGAGATTTATAAGCAAATAAAGCCAATTAGACATGCTAGAATATCCTTATTCTGGAACATATTCTGTTAGCTTATATGGTAAATGCAATTGGGAAATTTCATATAAAATATTTGCAGGAGTATATGTGGATGATATATTCTTTTTCATATATCTAAATTAAGTAACCACAGTTATTCAACAAAAGTAAAAGTAAAAATTAATGTTTTTCTTACCTGGGTTACTGCAACCATCAGTAGCAGACCTCTTATTTTCTGGTCAATACAGAAAAGATAAATTTAGCACCATAACATTTATGGAAAAATATTTGTAAGAACAAAGTTATAAAAAACCACAAGCAAGAATTGGAAAATTTAGCACCATAATAGGAGAAAAGGTTATGTTGTAACATATGTGATGCGACATCCTCAGTCTCTTCAAATCTCTTTCTTTTCTTTCTCTTCATTGCTTTCTTTCTAGTCATACAAGTAGAAAAAGGCAGTGACTTCACATTAAAACCTCCTTCCATAAATGTTTCAAGATCAAACAGTTTTCTCTGTTCATCTTCTGCAATTTTTCTGTCATACTTAAGGGCTTGGGACTGCAATTCCTTAATTTTCAATTCTACCCACTTAAATCTCCACATGAGAGGATGAATAAATCTCTTCCAATGGTCTGTCAACTTTTTCCTCCTGAAAGGTTGGAAACACTCACAAAGTTGCATGGGAAACAATAATTGAAAGTTAAATTGAGCAAACAACACACATCAACATAGCGGAAATGAAAAGGTAAATATCATAAGAGCAAACATGCAAAAATCAGGAGAACTTGGTTATCGTGAACACAGCTATTCAAATCTATACCAAAAAGAAAGAACCATGTCAATCATGTTGAAGCATGTTAAAAATTGCTATAGCAGAGATTTAAACCATACAATGATTTGATTATGGTTATGTTTGTCATTGCTTATTCATTGAGAGTAAATCGTGAAGGAGAAAAGAACTTTTAGCAGAGGGCAATTATCCGAACCTTTCAACAACCTTTCAGAGAATGGGAGATAGGATACATATAGCAGCATCGTAAACAATGTCACTGGTGCTCCTATGATACAATTAATGTGAATTTCAAAAAAGATAACTGTAAGTTACCACTAGCTATGAATTCTCCAGAAATGCCAACAGGAGGCCTTATTACCAACCTTTCACCGAAAATCAGGACAGTAACAAAATTCATACCCTGGAGGACCTGATACTGTGTTACATGGATTACAGCAAAGTGTTTTTTTCCCTCCCAACCCTAGCCTAAATTTATCTTTTCAGGCCATTCAAACTGCAAACTACAGCTTTAATTTAATTCACATAACAAGATGAAAAAGTTAATACATGAAAATGAAGTCAATTGCAGATGATTGCTTAAGTTCACCTCTAACTAAATTTCAACTTTGCAATTTCACCAAGGATAGTTGATAACTGATGATGGTTCATAATTGTTATTTCATGATGGGATACTTTAGGAGTAGTATTAGATTAATTGATTTCTCCAGTTGCAATGTGTGCAGATGAGCACTAAATTATACAGGCATAAAATAAATCAATCAAACTACTAAATACCTCATTTTAAATGAGCCACCATATCCATCAAATACAGACATCTGTCCACCTCCAACAAATAACTGTGACTCAACATCAGTATCACTTAACCCAGAAGAACCATTCTTATTCTTAGATTCCGTGTCCCCAAAAGAACTAATGCTCTCGGTCGCAGCATCGACACATCTAGCTTCATTTAGCTCATTGTCACTGACAATGGTACAGTTAATTATATTAACCTCCACATCCTCACTTCTGGCTGCAGCTGCCTTAGCTCCATCACCATGTAAAGCTTCTTCTGCATGAAAGCTTTTGTCCTGGAAACTCCTCACACATTGTATGAACTTATTATCTTGTGGATCTTGAGGCGCACTCTTATTCTCTTTATTAGCCAAAACTTCCATTGCAGCAATCGGTTTGGTTTTTTATGTCCAAATCAGGACCCATTTTAATGTGACCTGCAACACAATAACATTCTCTTACTCAGCTTTTCGATTGTCATCACCCCATCATTAATAAATTCATATCGATGAAACAAATTCGTTTTACGATTAATTTTTTATTTCCAAATTAACAGAAAGCAATACCTAAACAGATTCTAATATACATAACGGCATCGAAGAAAGAAAGAAAACTACTATAAATTAATTAATTATTCAAGATTGAGCAAAAATAAGAAAACTTTAGCAACCAAACAGGAATTTCACCATGCGCATTCACTGAAATTGCATATCATATTGACATCTAATACAGTTACCAGGAAAAAGAATGAAAATGAAAATTCAAGATATAAGACCTACTATTGAAATTGAAACCCTAAACCCTAACAATTAGACAATATAAAGTAACTACCTGCCTGAGGAAAGGTTTCTGGGACTCTGATTATGTGAGGGTTAGAGAGGAAAGATTCACCGCCGGTGTAGGCTAGGCCAGCCGGAGACTGAGTGTTAAAGGAGACGGGATTTTATTTATTTATTATTATTTTGTGAGGGATGAGAAGAGGACTAAAGGCTTAGGGGGCTGTGAACGAGTAGCCTCGGAAACAACTTTGAAGGACGGGGTTTATATATGTTACAGCTGCTTATGCGATAATTATACAGGTGGCGTCCAGTTATAGGCATCTAGGCTGTATAATGTCCATCTCAGCTGAGGCTCTGTTAAAAACGTTTCTATTGTATTTTATTTTACCTGGTTATATTTAAAAAGAAAATAGATATATAAGCTATTTGAATTTATTTTTTATAAAAAAATATTTAAAGTATAAATTTAAAAATTTATATAAGTATTTAATTAAACAAATTAATAGCCATCAAATTAAATAAATAAAAAACATTATTAATAATAAATAAAAATATTTTTTAAAATTAAAAGATAAATATAGATAAGATATTTGATTTCGCAAAATTAGATATTTAGTTAGTTATATTTACTAATTTTATTTATTAAAATTAATAAAAGATAATAAAAATAGAAATACATATTAAACTAGTTGAATAAAATAAAAGAAAAAATATTATGCAAGGCATAACATATTAGAAGTATTATTTAAAAATAATTTTTTTTAAAAAAAATAAAGTTCATGTGTATAAAAACCCAAAAAAATATAAACGAATCACAATAATATCTTCAAAAACTAAATACACATAAAATAATTTTTTAAAAAAACCTTTATTCAAAAACGACATGCAAAGCTCATGATACACGTCATGAGACTAGGATAAATTAAACGAAAAGAAATTAAAGACAATTGCAAAATCAAACTTTCTCTTAAAAAAATAATGTAAAATGATGAAATCAAAAATAAAATGAATGAAAAAAAAATAGATGTTGAACTACATTAACTCAAACCCGTGACCTAGACTATTAAATCATAAGCATGACAAATAGATAAATCATGAAATTCCATTTCCAACCAATCAAATATTAAATGATAAAACTAGAAATAAATAAATTAGACCAAAGGATCTAAAAAAAAAAAATATATAATTAAAAAAAATAAGAGTAAAAATCAAAAACAAAAACAAATTAGAGGGCAACCACAAATTTTCAATTGGAGGGTTAAATTGAAAAAAAAAATTAAAAAGAAAAAAATAAATCAAAAGAATGAAGGTTAAATTGAAAAAAATAATACAACATAAAATTTGATTGAATGATAAAATTAAAAACCAATAAAACTTTAATAAAAAGTCAAGGAAACGTTAGAAATCAAAAAACTAAGGACTGGATTGTAAAAAATAATATATGATAAATTGTAATTAAATGACTAAATAAAAAAAACTCTTATAAAAGGAGAAGGAATGAAAATAAAATAAAAAATAAAAAAAAAATAAATACTGAAATTGAAATATAAAAAACAAAAAAGATTGTCGTCATGAGTGCACGGCGTGAGTGACATCCTAGGAGTCAAGTAGTCACCACTTAGTTTGGTTCAGGGTTACTAGGATACCTAAGTGTACTGGTCTTTTCAGAAATTTCAAAGGTAAATGACTAGTTATGACTAAGAAATATATTAACATCTCCTAATACACCGTATCTAAAATAAGTTACCTTGTATGATCTAGATATAGTTTAAAAGTTTCAATGGGTTCCTAACTGATGGTCTGTCTATGTTCAAAATAAAAATTTACTCTCATAAATAAATCTAGTATTTTGAATTTATTATGAACATGTATGTTGAGATAAATTCTTATATAAAGAGTGTAACATCCTCATATCTGGGATAAAACAACAATCTCATAGCAAATAAAAAAACAAGGTAATATATATATATATAGTCTTCATATGAAAATCTTCCAATATTTCTACAAAACTTTTCTCAGAATCTCTCCTATATCGGGAGGTCTCGAGTTATTGATATATAACTTATTTACACTTCTAATATTTCATATCTCATAACTCAATCACAACCCAATCATCATGGGTTTCAATCCCACAAACATCATCTTCATCATAACCATAATTTTTATAACATGTATTTAACAATAAATATCATTATAGAGGAATAAATTAGATAAACATGTATACATGGACATAATTATATGAATTTCAAAGTTAAGATTATATATTCAAGTTTAAACATCAATGATACAAATTAAGTTATATAAAAGTCGTAATATTATAAAAGATAAAGGTATATTCCCTAAAATCTAGATTACAAAAAGTGAATATAAGTTAGGATGTACTCATGTCATGCATATGATGATTTTGAAACAAAATATATATTATTGAAACATGAATATCACAATAAATATAACAACACAAGTATTCAACAATTTACAAAGGCAAATATGCATTTATATTTTATTCACTTATCCCTTCTGGTTTCCATTAGTATTCTTTCTCATTCAACTAATAAAAATTGTTTCCTCTTTCATTATCAACCTCTATACAAGATTTTATAAGATCAACCATGATTATTTTCGCCTAACATATTATCGATACCAATTTCACTAGTATTATCATTACCTTATAGGAATTGATGCATAGTCATCCCTTTACTTTAGACCATAACATATATTAAATATATATTAGTCGTTGCAAGATGATCCCCTTACCAAATATCCTATCATGCACTGAATGTATGTTAGTCAAAACATGACGATCCCCTTATCCAAGATCCTAACATACACTAAATGTACGCTAGTCCATGCCCTATATCACTTTTCTCATATTTTCTTTGACACTGATAATTTCATCACTCGACAATTCACACAAGAACCATTCAGTGTTTTATTTCAATCTATACATAAATTTCTTCATTTTTATTTTTCATTTATTTAGTTTGCAATTTATGCAAGCACTTATTTTTTGAAGTTTAGAAAGGGTCCATGTAGGTACCCTGATAGGGTTCATCTATCTTAGAAGGTGAAAGTATTCTTCACAACTCGTACATTATGATTAAAAAAAACACTCTCAATTTAAAAACATGAAAATCTAAAATAATTTTAAAAATTTTATAGTCAATTCCTAGTATTTAAATATTAGCTTACTTATAGTTCTAACATTTATGACAAGATGTTGACTATTAATTTTCATGAATTAAAATTTTTAGAGTTATTAAAATATAGACCAAAATCCTTTGGAATATTACAAAACTCTTGTAAAACTCATGTAATATCTTTTCTTTTTTATACATGCCAAAGTATTTTAGATTTTTTAAATAAAAAAAGCTTGAATAATTTTAAGGATGTTTTGCCACATGCAAGAAAAAAAAAGTATATTTTTTTTTATAATTTTTTTTTTAAGTTTTGTTTGGAAAAAAAAAACCCTTGTTTTTTGTAATAAAACTCCCCAAAATAAGTCTAAGTAGTGTTTGCAAAACACACCCTTTAAAAAAAAAAAAAACTTTAGTAAAAATATTGCTAGCCAAAAAAAAATATTGCTAGCCAAACAAAGCCCTAGTCATAGATTCAATTTTGACCCAACTGAGTTGACCAGAAATCTTTGGTCCGATCATGAACCAAACCAAAAACATGGGTTTAACTCGAAAACAAGTTAAAAACAAAAAACAAGCCAAAAACATATTAAACTTGTGAGAAACACAAAAAACTCAAAAAATTTGGCGTAAACGAATCACAACCCAGAAAAAACAAAGAACGCATATGAATATTCATTATGATTCTAGCAACATGAACTTTAAACTAGACTAGATTTCATGAAATAAAAGGAATATAAAGGTTGTAAATCATGCAAAGATCAATAATCAAGCAACAAAACTTAATAATTATCACTCAATAATCCTAGTTTGACTAAAAATATTTTGATATAAAAACAAAACTCTAAAATTAAAACTCATATAAAATAGTTATTTATGTCTAATGATGTCATGCGAATGTCATGATGCAAAGAAATAAATAAAACAGGTCAAAAACTCATAGCTACGACAATATTCTTGGGATGAACATAAAGAACATCATCTTAAATTTTACCAAAAAATACATTAGCCTATTAGCAAACCTAGAAATGCATACCAAGCTTTGAAACTGAATTTTTTTAGTTCACACAAATCACATTGTCATAGTCATATATATTTAAATCAAAACAAACAACAAAACACAACTAATTATTAAAAACATATATGAAATCCCATTTTTCAAAACTAGAAAATAAAAACAACAAGTTTATCCATGCATCTTAGATTCAAAATTGATTTTCAAAACATATTTTGATCTTATAAACCCAGGATTAACAATATGGTTTATCAATGCATTAACTGAATTAGGATTAACAATATGGTTTATCAATGCATGAACTGAATTAACAAAACTAAAAAAACAAACATTGTTTTATCAAAAATTAACTTAACTAGAAGGCTTTTATCACATTAAAAAAATTCAACTTCATCCTAAAATGCTTTAGAGAACAACATCAAACCATAGAATAAAAAATTATAGCAAAAAAGAAACAAGCACATACCTACTTTTCAAGTATTGCAAACATATTTTCATACTTGTAAACATAAACACAAACCAAATGACAATCAAAATCAACTCAAACAGGCCACATAAACTCCATTTTTAGGTTAAGAAAAATACCTTCAAACTCCTAAAATAACTATTGCCCTTCTTTGCTTTTCTTTGTATAAATTTGTTTCCACAAACTTATTACCCTTTCAAAGATGAAAAAACCCTTAAGTTAGACTCGTAAACCTTCACAACTATGGTATTTTCTTAGCATTTCTCTTTTTTTTTCTTTTCTTCGGCTCAAATTTCTAAGGATATTTATATGGTTTTTCTAAGATTTTTGATGGATTTCATCAAAAATTGATCAAAACTGAGCACTTTGATCAAAATGAGAGATTTCTAAACAAAATTTTACAACTAAAACCTCTATCCTTCAATGGTTTTTACAATGATGGTTTTGGCCTAGGTGGTTTTCCTTTGCTTTGAGACAAACATGCACTTTTCACCTTCTAATTTTAAGGGAACAATTTATAGCCCTTGATAAGAACCTTTAGGAGATTTGAAGTATAAACACATAAAAAAAGTTAGGTGGTTTTGCACCAATAGATATTTAGTCAAGGCTAATCATCGTGAACTACAA